GCTCAACTTTTTTTGTTGCTTTTTGCCTTTTTTTGTGTGAAAGATGAGTCTGATTTTGGAGTGGACTCTATATAAGCTGCCAGAGACGCTTTCTCGTTTTCAGTTCGACCCTGTTGAGCTGCGCCAATGATTTAGTTGGGGTGGTAAATTAAATTAAGCACTTTCTGCAACTGGTTCAACAGGGATGATAAAATGCACACATCGTAATCGTTCATTATGCTCAATTTAATCACTCTGGTCCTGTTCACAATAGATGTGAGCTTGACCAATAAATGATGTTTCAAAACAGGACGTCTTCTGATAAGCTAGTAGAGCAACATTAGGAGCTGACGTATATTTTTAAAAAAACTTTGAAAGACACAGTTCTAGTGGGTTTGGTTTCCACAGGGACTCCAACTCTTCTGGTGCTCAATGTTTCTGAATAGTAAGGTAAAATAATTGACTTTGATTTCACTTATTTTTATCGTCTATACTATCAGTAAAAGCTTTGGCAARTTCTGGATTTTCTTTTGTCCATTTTTCTGCATTATTTATCTCTAACCAGTTGCTGTTACGAATGTGAGAACACAGAGTTCGTGCTAAATCCTCAAGACTTGAAGACTCCATTGCGCATGCCTCATCTTTTTGCATGACGTCAGTTAAAGTGGATGTGGGGCCGCTGTCATGACAATCAACCTCTGTTTGCTCGAGTTTCTGTTTCTTCTTGGCTACTTCTTGACGGATGTGTTCCARGCAAGAAAGCAAACGTTCCATTCCTATGAAGTTTGAATCAAAATAAGAGAAAAAAATAAGCCAAAGTTGTYCMTTTTTGTTTATAGCAAGCATAAAGACAATAGAGCAGTCACTGCGCATGCTCAGGAAATCAACCTCCTTAGCTATTKTTTAATTCGCTGWTAATCGCAGCGGTAAAATGGCACAGTTCAACCTCGTTTCAGGAACYTATATTTCTTAGAAYTGCGCGTGCTCTACGAAATAATAAGAGCTCTTGGAATGAGAATGRACTTGCTTAGGAAAMACAAACTTTTCAAGCGCGTGTCTGGGCTGTCATGGAAACGCCTTGATGGGCATCCAACAAAACCTATTTTGAATACTCATTTTATTTCGAGTAAAAWAATCGTCAAGAAAAAAAGACTTGTCATTGCTAATCACCACCTYAAAACGGGGTCGAACTGAAAGCATGTGAAGGCGCCTCTGGCAGGAACTATACAGTCCATGTGTGACCYCAGAGCACAGCTCTAACCAGTTTGTATTAGTTAGGGGTGATTTGAAAAGAGGGAGGAAAAACCAGAGGACCGGAAAAACCCTTGGGTCAGAAAGAGAACCAACCAACTCAGCTCACATGGGGTAGCTGGGATTCGAACCCCGGATCTCAGAGGTGAGATGCGAGCGTTTTACCACAACCCATTCTGACGAAAGTTTGTTGATGTGATATCCCGCGCATGCGCAATAGACGCTTTGCACCATCACGTGATGGCAGCCATGATAGGGGGCAGGRACAATAGAGTCTTTTCCCCCTGGAAAACTGAATCCTTTCTTTTCAACAATTGATTCTGGTCTAATCTGATTTACAAGAGAAAGGATTCAGTTTTCCAGGGGGAAAAGACTCTATTGTTCCTGC